CCAAAAAAATTGACTGGATTTTTTTCGATTTTTGGAATTTGGGAATTTTAGAATTTTGGAATTTGGGAATTTTAGAATTTTGGAATTTGGGAATTTTAGAAATTTGGAATTTTGGAACATTGCAAGGTTGGTCCTAGGGGGAGGGGTTAGCATATATATATTTATACAGTAGCACAGAAACGTATCAGGAAGACTTAAGATATTTGCAGTCACTTCGATAAGAGAAAGCTAAGAGTCAGAACGGCGGAAAAAAAACAGACAGCCCAAGCAATGTCAAGCAAACATCAAAAGGCAGACCACAAAGCAAGCATTGTAAGCATTCTGCATCACTCAAAACGAGAGAATCAAAACAGCAGAAAACACAATCCCACTTGTTTACAACCGCGAGCCTCCATAAGCAGGCCAAGCTGCAGAACTTCGAGAGGCGTTTCCGCGGGCTCGCAAGGTCCCAGGTCCAGGGGGCCCCTCGGTACGGGAACCGGTGGAAGCCCGTTGGTTGGCCAGAGGAGGTTGGTCTTGATCCCGCTGACGACATCCAGATGGAAAAGCCTCGCATCTCTCCCTCATCAGACGTGCTGACATGTATGCTTCACAACACCAGAGAATGGACAGGTGGTGACGATGTTGGTCGGCTTCTTGAAGCTTTCGAGCACTATAGTGGCTTGCTTAATTTCTGTCTTTATTAGGAAGCCTGAGGAACAACTTCCTACCAAGGAATGTAACTCAATTTCAGCATGCTCGAGTGGCGCTTGACAATCCTTATCCCGAAAATACCTGAAGGTTGAAACCAAGCCGCTCGTGCATCAAACGCGAGGCCGCCGGAAGGGCGACAAAAGCATCCCGCAGTCGGAGAAATGAAGCTACGATGACAAGATATTGCTGCAAGTGCCGCTGGGATGGCGACACCAGATCCTCGCATATCTGGTTGGCACTGGGCTGCGCAATATCTGCAGAATCCGTTGGCGCAGCTGCCGCGACAACCTCTGCCGCCTTCTGGTCTGTCGGATGCGCTACCTGTGCTGCAAGTGTCTGGCCAGAATTTTGGGGCTGTGTGTGCACTGCTGTCCTGCCACAGCCGCATGTCCAGAAAGACCCTTGAGCCCAATCCCTCTGCAATGAGCCAATTCGTGCTGAGCTGTAGCCCTCAACCCTCGAGGCCCTTTTCCTCCAAAATTCCCCATTCCTTGGGCGGCCTGCAGCCGTAGCCTTCTCACCACATAGACTGCCGCAAAACTGCAGGTCAGGGCAGGCACCTCTGGAATGGCCAGAGGTTTGCCACTTGCGGCTCAGGGCTCAGGCGGCTAAGGGTTACAAATGAGAATTGCTCTCAACTGCCTATGCCGGCTGTGCAGGACCTGTGGATAGCAAGACCCTCATGTCATTTGATTTCAGCAGGTTCAGGTTCCATAGACACACAATGTGAGTAAGCCCTAGACTTCAAGCATAACATGGAGGGATTGGGTCTTGAAAGTTTGAATGCCGCGACTATCATCTATACTGCCAGTATGATGCAGGATCTTCAAAAGCCCAGCTGACCTACGCTGTTCCTGCTCAGCCCGGCCGACAATGGCGGATCAAAACCCAGTCTTCCATACAACTGCGGTTGTCACAGGCAAAAATTACGTGGACTCACACAAGCAAACAAAACTGCTCTGGAGCCTTCCTCATACTGTCCTCATGCTGCCCTGGCACCAGAACGGAGCTGCTGGGAAGGAAGAGGCCTAAGTGACGCCGCATTGTGCTTCGAAGCCGAGCAGCAATGGATGTCACAGTCTTTGAGATGCTGCAACATGTTGAAACCCTAGGGTTCTTGTTAGGGAACAAGGGAATATATTATAATTGTACAGGGATGATATTCTGATATTCCCTACAAAGAACTAGTAGGTTGTCATAAAGGAGCTAACTGAATCGGGCTATGCCGCTATGTGTCGGGTTGTCTGCTGCTTGCCCGAGGGCACATGGATCTTTCATTGTGGTTAGCAAGAAAGGAAGACTTGAGCCGGATATGCAACAGTTGAAATATCCATTCGCGTGACTCCCCAGCACTTCTTCTCATGTCGAGATGCTATAGCCTGGACTCCGTCATGCATGCTTGCATACATGGATAGGTCTAGTGTGCAGTGAATCGCTCGATGCATATCGCACAAGTGAGGCCAATGAACCCTGAGCCCTCAGAGCGGAAATCGTAAAAATAGTAGTGATCAAAGCTAAAAGTGCCCTAAGAGCAGAACACACTGTCGCTCCTGCTGCTAGCAATGGTACTTGGAAGTGACATTGTAAATTAGTCGTGGCCCGAAGCCAGGAGGATGCTGTTCCGGGATCGCAACGCTGCGCTCTCGCATTTCAGAAACCAGGCGCCTTGGTGCCAAGAGATTGGCATTTCACTGCACCATGTAGGGGATGGATCCCAGCTTTCAATCATTGCCAGAGATTCCGTCGTGACTACATGGGGATCATTTTGAAAGGGATGCAGGGATTGATACCGGCGAGCGTGAAGAGCAGGGCTCCGAACTTTGGGGAACATGATCTGATTCCTTGGTTGCCCAAGAAAGGGAAGCCTTTACAGACCACGCGCACCGGAACCCTTGTGTAATCCCTTCCTCCTAGTTTTCAACACCGCGCACCCAATGATAAGTAGTATATAGCATTCCTTTTGAGACAGGTATTGAATGTTCATGGACATGATTGTAAGGTCAAGCTAGGAAAGCAGCAAGCAGCAGGACTTTGCTAAGGCCATTTTCGAAGCCATCCACTCGTTGCAATGGAGCGAATTTGTCCAATTGACGAAGGGGGGGGGGGGGGGGGGNNCCAAGGTCTTGTGCCGTTTGGGGGTGTCCGTGTGAGCGAGTGTCCTTCTGTTTTGCGTGCAATGCCTGAAAGCAGTGGCAGGGGACCTGGCTGTAGGCACACATCCATTTGAGGGGTGTCAATTTCTGGTTGTGCGACGTGACAAAAAGGGCACACATGGGAAGCACTGCCCTCAAAATGACCACTGTCTGTTCATTATGTTGGCTTGTGACACTATTTCACATTGTATCACTTGCATGCCTGTAAGTTGTTGAAACCCGCCCTCCTGCATGGAAAGGAGTGCCAGCAAACTACCAGGCATCAGGCTACTGCAGTCATGATCTTCCACAAAGCCTCAAATCTTACAAATTGCACGAACTGTCATCTTCGCAGCTTTACCTGCAGAACTCTACACAGCTGGCCTACGTTTCCTGGCTACGTACATATACATAAGTACATAGAACTAAACCAATATACACATATATATATATATAAAAATATGGCCTAACCCAAAGAACTGGCGCTGGGCTGCTGGCTTGAGCCGAAGCTGTTGAGCCTCAAGCAATTTACGTGGAGAAGCGCAGACAGTAAGCCTATCCAAATTGCTTCTCCTAACAACATGTGGTTACTTTTGATGGTGACTGAAATGAAACAAACCGGTGCTGGGAAGTATGGGGGGTGGTAGGAATTTCACGTCAGCATGGAGGCTTGGATTGCGGGGTGGACACATTAAGTTGTAGTCAGTTTTTCTGCCGATGCAATGACTTGAAGCGCTAGGATTTGTCCTGCAGGGCTTCTTGCCTGGACGCGTTGATGTAGCTTGTATTTTCAAGCTGCCCTGAACAACATCCGGTAGCCAAAATTGAATTTCAGTTCTGCAAGCCCGCTGCGGACTGCCTGCGTAGAGCAGATGTGCGGCCTCTCCTCCGTATCAAGCTGTTGGTTGCCTTGTGCTTGAGATAGCAAACCATGTGCTTCACGACTCTGCCAGAGACCAGGGGTCGTCCTGCACGCAAACCGGGGTAGTTGACGAGCCAGGTCCTCTCGCCCAGCCAGAAGAAAAGCGTCAGCGCACTTGATCAGGGCGGGAATTGTGAGAGCCTTCCGAAGTTCACATGCAGTGAGGCTAGCATCTGGATCGAAAAGTAGCGTAGCAGCAGCTCTCCTCAGCTGGCGAAGGAATTGAGGGTTCTCGAGGGAGCGGGGCGGCAAGGTTCATGAATGCAAGAATAATGTTAATAGTACGGTTCCCAAGCCATCTTGTTTGCCACTGGATTTTCTTGCCCGGAATCGGATCCAAATTTGAAAAATCACGCAAATGAGCCTCATAGCCCTAAATAGAATCCTGATGCTGAGCTTAATGCCCTACAGCAGCCCTATATGGTAGTTTCCCAAAATATCGGGGACCTCAATATAAACCCCAAAAATCCCAAAATATTATAATCCTCATTATGGGGACCGCCAACCAGGTACCCCTTTTTTTGGGAAACCCCTATATGTTCTGGAGTATTCCGACTGGAAATGAGGGGCCATCGCCGTGCGCTGGCGCACGCAGCACAGGTTGCGCTCCATGCAGCTGGCTCCTTACTCGCTGTCTTAATGGTAGCTCCCCAAAACCCTAACCCCAAGATAGACTCCAATATACTATATTTCTTCTTAAGGGGACCCCGAAAATGATAATGTAGACCCCTTATTTCTAAACCACCTTCCTTAGTAGGGATTATAATAGGGATTCTAATATTAAGAGCCCTTAGTCTACTTGCACGAGGTGCATATGCATGCAGAAATAGATGCATAACTTGATAAGAACAAACCAACAAGCGCAGGATGGAGTAGTACAGTAGGATCTGCTAGCAGCAACAAGGCGCCCAGGAAAGCTGCGTCTGCGCAGCTGTTGCCAGGCAGTACCTAGAAATTGCAGTGCTCTCCAGCTCAGGCAGGCTTCTTCAAGTTCTAGTAGCATGTGCTGCTGTAGCTGCCACCGCTACCCAGGAAATGCAGTCTTCTATACCTTGCAAACAGGCTATTAAGAAACGAAACTTTGTTGATTTCCTGAAGAGTAGTGCAGTCACTTCTATTACTATTGTTACTACGAATTCTTGTTATCATTACTAGTACTCCTATTGTTACTAGCTGAAATCTGGCTGACAAGATAACTTGCAGATTGGCTCTTCTCCGCAAATCCAGGCCCGTCAGAACAACTCCAAGAACAGCCAAGCAAACATTTGAGCTATAGTCTAAACTCCAAGCATCCCCCTTAATAACCCCTATAACAGTCTCCGATATCATGCCCTAGATATCCCCCTTTAAGGAGTTTGGACTACAGCTCATTAACCCTGAACTACTTGCTGAACCATGGTCATGAGCATTTGGGCATCCTTCCCCGGCCCCGACATGCAAAGCGCAGCACCGCCTGTTGTAGACTGATGGTGTCTGAACCCTAAACCGCAAATAGTAGCTTGCATGTTCTTCTCTGTTATCCCTTATGCTTGCTATCTTACCCTATACTACCTCTTATATTATCGAACTAAGATCCCTATTGCGCATGTTGAAACGGAATTAGTCCAAGCCATGCTTCTCGCATAATCTTCGCATCCTAAGCCCTGAATGCCCCATGAAGTAATTTCCATAAATAGGGGAACCCAACCTAGACCCCAACATATCATAATCCTTTCAGTGGGGAGCCCCCCAAAGGTACCTCCAAGTTTAGGAAACCCAAATGCCTATAAACCACTACACAACCCCAGTTTCCATTTCATATTCCATTATCTTTTTAAACCTTAATCCCTAAACCCTTATCCTTGAACCCCTATAAGCCGACCTACCATGAATCCACAATAGTAGCTTTCATTGTGTTTTCCATTATCCCCATAGATCCCCAATATACTATGTTTCATTCGGGGTACAGGGCCCCACTCCAACTCTGGCCCTTAGCGCAAGCGCTGGCGACAGCTGCGAAGCTGCGGGAATCTGCCTGCAATGACCTCTGCAGCTGCTCCAGGAGGGCCAATGCCTGGCTGTTTTTGGGCTCTTCCACTTGCATGGCACGCTGTTTAGAGTTTACGGATTTGGGTTTGGGGTTTAGGGATGAGTTTGGGATTACTTGGCGTTTTCGGTTTCAGGGCTTTGAATTTAATAGGGTTTAGGATGACTTTGCTATTGAGGCAGAGCAACGTAAAAAGCTTAAAAACAACTAATTATTCAGGTTTTCATGTTTTAAAATTCCTTGAACAAATTAAAAAGCTTACAGCACTTAGAAAATCAATTTTTGTGTTGTTTAATCCTTTTTTAAAATTTGGACTTAAAAAGGCATACAAAAAATTAAGATGCTTAAAAACAAACAAACTAATAATTCAGGATGTTAAGTTTAGTAACATCGTAAAAAAACTTAAAAACATCCAATTATCTATGTTTTTGATGTTTTATTTTTTTGTGACTTATACAAGCTTGATACATATAAAAAATCAAAACCAAATTATTCGGGTGTTGATGTTTTTGAAAATCCTAAAAAGCTTAAACAACATTAAAAACATCTTAAAAATCTAAAAAAAATTTACAAACTTGAATAATTTGATTTTAAAAGTTTTTTTAGTTTTAGAATTTTCCTAAGTCCCGAAAAAACTCGAAAAACTTGGGCGCTCTATGTTTTTTAATTGTTTTTGATTTTCTTTACTTTTTCGGATTTCTAAAACTGAACAACCTGAATAATTAGCTTTCTTAAAGCTTTTTAAGTTTTTATGTTTTTAAGCACCAAAAATTTAAAAACATAAAACAAACTAAAACAATCTATTTATGTATTGTTGTTTTTAATGTTGGTTTAACTTTTTAAGTTTCAGGAATAGCAAAAAACATGAAAACCCAAATACTTTGTTGTTGTTTTGTGTTTCTTTAGTTTTTTAAGCCTTTTAAAATGCAACAAAAAAACCTATAAATCTTAAAAACTGAAGCTTAAAATACTTAACAAACTCAAAATACCTTAAGTAATTCGATTTTTCAATTTTTCTCAATGAAAACCTTGAAAGACCTGAATAATTTGATTTTTGGTGTCTTAAGTTTCGTATTTTTTGCGGACTTTAAAAACATTAAAAAAAAAGAAGCTTAAACAAGCTAATTTTTCGGGTTTTTCAAGTGTCCTGAAATCCTAAAATTAGATGTTCTAAGTTCTTTAATTCGTTTTATCTTTAAAGTTTTTAAGTTTTAGGATTTCAGACATTTTACAAAACATGAATAGCTAGCTTTTTTTAAGCTTTTTAAGTTGTTTTTTAAATGTTCTTAAGTCCCAAAAGCTTAAAAAAACTTTAAAACTTAAAAACAACTAAAGAAAATCTAGTTATCTACGCTTTTTAAGTCTTTTTTTTAAATTGTGACTTAAAAAGCTTAAAACATCTAAAAGCAACTTACCAATATTCGTGCTTTAAAAAAAAGAGCTGTAAAGAAACCTAAAAAAACGATTTTTTAGTTGTCTTTGTGGGACTTAAAAAAACTAAGAAACTTAAAGTTCCACATGATTTCGGTTTTCTGTGTTTTTTGTAATTTGTATGTTTTTCTGTTTGTTTTTTAAATAAACATATGATTCTGGTCCCTATTGAAGGCAAAGGAAGGGAGAGGATCACATTATACATAGAAGTCCCTCGTACACATATATATATATAGGTATATGAATGTATCCATTAGGCTTATAAAGGATTATATATGAATAGGGTCATAAGGGATTATATATGTAATATATAGGTGTGGGCAGAGACTATACAAGGCCCCGCCTCCACCCAGGGAAGGCCCTTTTCTCCTGCAGAGATGGCCGAGTTGAAGGTAACCAGGTTGGCCTTTCAAAATTCATTGCGGCCAATATATAATGTAGACCCATGATTCATAAACCCCCTCCTTTTACAGGTCTCAATATTAGGATCCCTATCATAATCCCGATTAAGGGGAGGGTTTTTTTGTAATCAGGGGTCTACGTTAAGCAGCGGACAAACTTCTTGTCTTGCCTATGGGTCAGAAGTCCCATACTCGTGCTGCAATCTCGTTCCATCTCGTTTTTACATACCCTGAAGTATGTTAGGGGGACCATCTCGTTCCTACTAGGCTTGAGTTTGCGAAGTGTACATGATCCAGATGAAGGATTGATGCCCTGGCCCTTTCCCAATGCACCGTTCTTAAGTCCAGGATGAGGGCATGACAAGCCCGTGGTAGCTCCTGTAAGCCCCATATGAGACTCTCCCATCCAGGCCCCTCATACCCTCTAAAGTTTACAAGGCCTGCACCTGATTGCCATGCACGTTCGAATACTTGGTGCGCCAAATGACTCAATCTAGTACTATCACGTTTTACAGCACTTGAGTCGGGCCTTGAATCTTGCTTTACAACCAGCACATTTGCATTTAAACGCAAACATGCTGAGCTCACTATTTGGGGGGGGCCATCACGGTTTACAGGTCGAACGCTTGATCTCCAGGACTTCTGAGCGACGTTTCACAATTTTCAAGAGACGGACTTTACTCCGTCGCTCATATGAGGGTTTCCCAAATTATGGGTACCCTTTTGAGGGTCTCCATAATAAGCTTTGGGAAGCTACTATATAATCGTATAATCGTGCCATGTTCTTAGGGTAGGGGTTTGACGATTTGGGGGCCCTATCAATAGTTTTTATGGCTTTACAGCGATTCTATAGGGATTCAGGGTGGTAACAAAATATGTGGTCAAACCTATACCCCATATTCGGGGTATTCAATGTCAGGAGGCTGGGGGGATGGGTTCATTGTAGGCGGTTCCTGCCTCATGAGCACACCTTTGAGAGCTGGGGTTCTTGTGTGCTACATGTAACACTAGAATTGCCATAAGAGTGAGAATGTATGCGAAACTCTGAGATGAGGCATCTCGCCTGCTCCATGATGAGTCAAAACACTACAGTATGTCCACCAAAATTGAGTAACTTTCAAAAATGGGAGTATCCCAACATAGACCCAAATATAGTATATCCTCACCATGGGACCCCCACTTTCAGGAAATCCCCATTTCAAAACTAGACGGATGCTTCAACCAGGCTAGGAGGCCACAAAGTAGTCTGGCCTGCACGCGGTGCTGCCACATATCCTCAAAGAGAATGCACATGGCCTTCTGCCACTGGTGGCCCTTGTCACCTGCAGGTCCACAGAACTGCGCTGGTTTTGTGGGCCAGTTAGCAGCACATTGTGCTAGCAGATAGGAACAGCCACACATGCCCAGGCCGCAGTCAGCCAAGTCACATGCAGAGATTAGAGCATTGAAGGTGATGGTCGTGGGCTGCAGAGTCCTGCATCCACATACCGTTGACGCTGCAGATGCGCTGCCTAACCCTCTCAGCGTGGCACTGGCCCAAGTTATGGCATGGGAAACCCATCACCTGGCATGAAGCAAGTCGAAAAGGTGGATGGCATGAGGCCATGCCCTGCCGACACAAGCGGTGATGCAAGCGTTGAAGGAGATTGCATCCTGCAGCAGCCATGATGTTGTCGTGAAAATTAAGTGGTGATGGAGAGTGCATGCTCTTCCGCGGAAACCGGGATAGAATCGGATAGAAAAACTCAAGCTTCATATTTCTAGCGACAACCTGGAAGCCTGGAAAGGGACCCCCCTTGCGCCAAATTCTATATGAGCGTTCGCCGAAACTCCTTGTATGATTCTATGCCATGGACAATTTGGGGAGGTCGTATCGCTTTTCGGAGTTTTGGCGTAGGATACAAGGAAAGGTATTGCTTTTGGGGGTTCAGCCAAAACCCTGTCATGGTTACGTCTCAGATTGAGGGGTATCACTTTTGGTCGAGGGGGCGCAGATGGGATCCA